GCTGGTAGCAGGGAGACAGAAGAGCTGAAACTGGTTGGATTATCCTTGTTGGTTAATGTCTGAGAGCCACAGGCCATGTTCTTTGTGACTGCCTCTAAAAGACTCATTGCTCTACATGAAAGCTGCTGAGAGGTCTCAAGTCATCAGTTGTGTAAGGAGGCATCAGGGCTGAATCCTCCTCCTCCTCACGATAAGATGCTGTCTTGAAATCCTGAGGGAACTTTCTGTTTGGTGACTGACCTTATGTGGCCCAGGAGATGGAGGAAGCATCTTTTTACCTCTTAGTAAAGATCAATATGAGCCCCTGAAGGCCATCTGCTGGGACCGTGGCCTTTTCCCCAGCAGGGACAGAAAAGAGCAATTCAAACTACAGATGCTACCTAGGCAGATACTTCTTTCTGTTTTCAGGTGGAAAATGAATTTGTTGCTAGTATTCCTGCCCTGGGAGGGGGGACTGGGGGAATGACATAGACATGACACACACATGCACACACTATAAGCAACTGCTGCAGGGGAGAAGGAGCTGCAGAAACCAAAAAGAAAGGAAAACACCAGTGAGGGAGGAAGAGGTGCTGGTATAGATGTGAGATGGGGGCAACATCCACCGCTGTTGCTGTGTGAGGGGAGAGGAGAACATGATGCTGGAGAATGGGCAGACAACCCAAAAAACCCCTTTGGAAACAATGCACTGTCCTCCCCTCCCACACACCCCCCCCGTGACCACCCCACTCAGACGACAGCCCTGTGCCTCCTGCAAGCGCTCAGAGCTGCCCAGGGCCCTGCTGGGTGTGGGGTGCCGGACTGAGATGAGCCAGAGGTCGGGCTCAAGGTGGGCATCTCTTGCCAGAGGCAGCTGCTAGGCAAAGAGGCCCCACAGGACATGCAAAACCCATGGGGAGTTTTTTCTTTTGAGGGGGTGGGAAACCCTCGGTGTACTTGCATGCAGGGGCCAGAACAAGCAGGTGTGCCCTGAGATGAGATGCATGCCTGGCGTATCGCTGCCTGATCCTGGGCGTCTTCTCTCCTATCTCACCAATCGCCACTGCCTCCTAGCACCACAAAAATGACCAAGGAGCACAGTGTGGTGGGACACAGGGTTATGCATGGGGCTGAGAAATGAGTTGGAAAAAGACAGCTAGAAAAATCTTGCTGAGCATGCCACAGGGTCAGTGTTTCTGAGAGTGAGTTGTCGTTTAAACCCTGGAGCGCTTTGGAGCTGCCCTGGGGATGCAGACAGAGAAGACGGCTTTGGGGTGCAGAGCAGTGCAGCTGAAAACACAAATTGCTCAAGCTCGCTTAGTAAATCTGAAAGAAAAAGGAAAAAACAAAGAGCATACAAAGCCTCAAAAAAACCACCCAACTTCGCTTTGGAAGCTAAAGGCATATTTTTTCATAAATGTGGATGCTTTTTACCTGCTGTAGGTGATATTTAAGCCCCATTTTTCATCTTTTTTCTAACCAAGAAATTAGATTATTGTGATGATTAGAACTGTGAAGACATTAAAGACTTAGAATGGCTTGTTTTTAAGGAGGCATACATGACATCAAAGCTGAGACCTCTGTATTTAACTCACGAGGTCTGATCACAGTGCTACTGCCTGCTGCCTAGAGGTGTCACACCCTTCATCTCCTGAGAGCCCCATGGAAGAGGACTCCCATTGTGGGTACCTTGGCAAGTAAGCTCTGCAGGCTACCCGTGCTTTTAGTACTACAGGATCCCAAAAGAAGCCTGCATTTGAATAAATATGGAGATTTGCCTTGCACCTCTGGGTTCACTAGGCGACTGAAGAGGCGTAGAGGGATCCCCAGTGCCCTGTGGTCAGGTCTGGCAGCACGTCCGCAGCAGCTCACGGGGACCAGTGCCCAGAGCACCCAGACCATCCAGCTCTCACGGTGTTTCCATCTCGCTTACCTCTTTGCTGGTGAAGAGCCAAGTGTGCATGCAGGCCTGCGGGCTAGTGATCGCTGTCACTGCAGGGGTCTTAATCCAGGCACCAAAACTGCAAGCAGCTTGAATCAAAACAGAACCAGGCAGGCTCTTTGGCTACTTACTCCTCCAAATCACAGCCGTCCCCTACCGTGCCGTGACTGGTTCTACTTCTGTCATGCTGCAGTTCATTTCCCCTCCTTTCTCACTTCCTGATGCAGTTCTGGCTGGCCACAAAGCATGAACTTTGCTATTTAAAGCTGATAAGCTAAAACGTATCCTATGAAAGCAAACGTAATCAAGAAAGAAGAAACACCCAGGTGTCCTTGCAACTGAGGAGACCTGCCCTGGGTCAATAGTGCCAAATAGTTCGTCTTTGCTCTCATGCTAACCCAGCCACCTTCAGGACTGACAGGGGAAAATTAAAACATCTCCTTCCCCAAAATATTGCCAAATAGGAGGTAGAAGTGAAATATGGGAAGTGAGAGCAAAGTCAATTTAATCACTACCTGGCGCAAAGGCTCAGAGTCCTGTCAATCCCACATGCTAGGGTGCTTTGGGGCCAAGCCCCTGCCCGAAGACCCAGCTGCGCACCGCTGGCACGTGGCAGGGACCCAAAAAGAACTGAGCTCTGAAGAGGTGGCCGTCAAAGGCATATTTGCCACAGACGTCAGTCCCTGCCGTTAAAGTCTGCAGGAGGCATGATGCTAAGAAAGTGCAAGGGCTAATTTAGCAGGACATCTATGACCTGGCACTGCCCAGTGTGGCTGGGAAGGGCTCTGCCCTTCTTCAGAGCCCACCTGGCACTCTGTTGCTTCAAACTCTATTTCTGCTTTGCCTGTCCCAGCACATCTGGAAGAAGACACGGGTCATGGGATACTTCTAACCCACCATCCTTCCTCAGGAGCAGCTGCTTTGAGAAGATGCCATGCCTGCGGGCTCCTTCTTTCTCTGCAGCCTTTGCCCAGCTCCTCTGCCTGACGGCTGTTGCTGCTGGTGTTTGACTTTCTCACTCCTTGCCTCTCTTGTTCTGCCATCACTGCCTCCTCATTCAGGGAGTGACACACCAAGGGATATATGTTCCTGCTGCTCATAAATCCTTGGAGGGTACAATAGCACCCGAACCACTGATCTCACCCTGTTCCTTTTTAGTGCCTCTCTTTTTTAACCGGACCCCCTTTCTCACTTCCTAGTTGCTGGGATTTTTGTTCTCACAGCTTTTTGTGTCTCTTCGGTTCCTGTCAAGGCTCTGGTACTGATAAAGGCTTGCACATATAATGGTGGGGGTGTCCCTTCTCCCTTTGCAAAAGGAGTCTCTGACACCCTCTGTGGGAACTTCCCCCTCCCCTGCGGTGCTCACCCCCTGCACACATGTGCGCACACATGTGCACACACCTGGCTGAGCCTGGCAGTCCTGGCTTTACCGAGTGTGTCAGGAGAGGAGGACACGGTGGCACTTAGCCTAGCCTGCGAGCCCGCGCTACCCCACAGCTTCCCTCACCCCAGCCAGGTTCACTCACCTCATTAGGTCTTGGTGCATCAGCCCACAAATTCTGTCTCCCCCCGCCCAGGTGGACTCACACCTCTGCCCCTCACTGTCTCTTGGAGGCTCAGCTTGTTGGGAAGAGCAGCGCAACCCCCGGCATTTCCTCACCGCTGTCTGAGTCGACAGCAGGTAAGACCAGATTGCTGGGGTGTGTGTTGGAGGCTACACCCTGATGCTGCAGATCCCAACATGCCTTCCATCCTGGAGTGCTGACTCCAGAAAGCAGGAGCAAGGACCCAACAGAACAAGGGACTTAGGCAGCTGAAAAGGCAAGGAGAGAAGTGGAAAGCATGCTACAACAGAGGGGCTGCTCAGGTTTGAAAGGATGACTGATTAACCCCAGTGCTCCTCAGACCTCTTTGTGCAGGGAAAGGTGGAAGAGCACAGCAAAGGGGTTAACCCACATGCAGGGCCATGGTGGAAGAACCACCTCAGGGCCAGAGCAGCCGTGTTTCACTTTCTGAATGATTCAGACAGGAAAAAGAGAAACCTCCGGGCTGTGTGAGGAGTTTCACCTTCCAGGGCAGTGGGGACAGCTGGCACGTCCCAGGCCTGCTGGGGGAGTGGCAGGCTTTTCTCCCAGGACGTTTCAGCTCCCCAGTCACACAACTCACACTTTCCTGGACTCCCAGGGCCTCTTAAGGAAAGAGCTACCCAGTGGGAAGAGGGGCAGCCAACCCGTTATGCCTGCTTAGGATAAGGGCAAAGACTGTCCCCTCTTGCCATGGGGAAGAAAATGAGGCGGGTGAAGGAAGACCTGCCAGGGAAAGA